AGGGATATATCACTCTGTGTCACAGATCTGATTTCTACTGTGTTGGCTTTATTTTTAAGCAGGATCTCCTCTCCCGGGGATGACATGGCAGCTGGCAGCCTAGAGTAAAAATATCTCTTATATTAGAACCTCAGCAGAAAGAGAACTTTTTCCTTACAGTTCCAGCAAATACCCCAGGACTGACACTTATTGAACTTGTAATTGAACTTGATCACACTCCCATCCATAAAACAATCATGTGGCCAAGGAAGAGGACACACTCATGGTCAGTCTCATTTCTGGAGGTACACTCAGTCCCATCTGAACCACATGGCCTGAGAAGAGGAAAGGGACAGTCCCCAAAGACAAACTTGGATGCTGTCTCCAGAAATGGGAGGCCCAGAGAAATTATGGGGGAACAGGTTAAGAAGGTCTTACGATATTCCTGGGTAGAGATAACCATAGTTTGGATTGAGAGGTATTTGAGGAGGATAAATTTGTAGGATTTTGTAGTGAATTAGACAAGAGGTAAGAGAGACTGAAGTATCAGGAGTATGTCCCAAGTTTCATGTTTATGTAACTGGTGATATCATTCACTGAGAGAGTCAACACTGAAAGGGTGCCAGGTTAAGAGGTAGGGAGAGAGGCAGAACAGCATGAACCTAACTTGGAATGTGTTTACTTGGAGGTACCATTGAGACATTCAAGAGATGATAGGAATCTAAAGATCAGTTGGATATACAGGTCTGAAGATCAGGGAAGATATCAGAGCTGGAGGATAAGCTTGCCCAGGGCTGGAACACTCTGTTTTGAAGGTTGTAATGACCATGGATAGTGATAGAGGCAGAGCCAGATTACGGTCAGTGGAATCAGTGAAAGGTAAAGAAGTAAAGACTGCAACTATATACTAGTCATTATGGTAGATTAACTATGGCCACAGATTCATTACTATTTCTTCCACTGAAAAGTGGAGGTTAGTTTGCTTCTCAGTGATTCTGGATTGACTTTAGTAACTTGCTTGACCAGAGTAATGCAATAGACACAATGTTCTGGGACTTTTCATGCTATATCATAAGGAACCTTGTGATTTCCACCTGAGCCTCCTGGAATATGTGCTGTGAAAAGGCCGAAATAGCCAGCCCAAACACAGTGTTCTTGGGAAAATTATTAAACTCCTTAAGCTTCTACTTCTTTATTTGCATAATAATGCAAACTCAATTTTTAGTTGCTGGTTTATCATTAGTGTTCACTCAATCTGTAATGAAGTGAATTAAGTAGCATAAAAGGAGATAAGAGTTGGCTTGTTTTTCCCTTTACTAAGGATTATTTCTATAAGTTTTTAAGACTATAACAATTTTAATGGTAACTATTTATTATATAATGTTATCTTAAACTATCATTGACTCCATTTTACAATGTGGCAAGTAAAATTAAAAAGAGAGCAATGCATTAACAATTTTAGACCCAGTTTAGACTTTGCATTAAATTCTAGATCCTTTGCTCAGCAAGTGTACCATGTTGAACAATTAAATCATTAGTCAACTAATATCAGATCAGAGCTGTTAAAGAAATAAATTTCATGTTCTGTGCTTTTTGTGACAATGTGGGAACTTTCACTGGTGACATTTTCAGGGGTACTTTGCCATTTGAGCAGGGATTTTCTAAAGTTACAAATAGCTATACTCTAATATCATTCCCAGAAATACCACCTCTGAAAGTCAGAGAATTAAATTACTTCTTTAATCTAGTAACTGTTGTAAGCTCAAAGAGAGAATTTCAGGAAATAGCACTGTCAGATTAAGTATTTGTAGGAATGCCATCTTAAAGAAGAATTTAGGGCTATAACATAGCCAGTAATTTTATCTGACTTGTATTTTTCAAATGAGAAAAAAAATAGGGGCAATCAAGACACCTTGATTTATGTAGCAACTTGCTTCCACATAGCACTTCCCAGTTTCCATAACATCACTGGATGTTTTCCTCTGTAACCCAGTGAACTTGCATTTCTCAGGCATGAGGAGAAAGGAGTCTCTTTTGACTCTTTTTTCCTGAGAATCTCCTCGCCATCAGGTTGCAAATGGGAAAGGGGATGTTTTCCTATAAATCTGACTGTTAGTGGCATGTTTTCCACCAGCTGAGGTGGGTCTGATATAAGCTTAGTGGCAGCCCAGTTGTTCACTCCAGGGGATTTTGGAGATGGCAAAATCCTGTCCGTCCTTGACTATTTTGTCAGTGTCACTCTTTCCCCCCCTCTTCTCCCC